TTTAATGATTTTTATAATAAAAAATAGCTTATAAGCTAACTTTTTTAAAAATTACTTAGAGTAACATTTCAACAGACTTATTAAGCTTTTTTAAAATCCTCTCAAATATACTATTTAGTAATTATAAAAATAATAATCTTCTACAAGTTTTTTTATGTCATTTTACATATTGGAGATAACTTATTGAAGTTTTTTTTTTTTAATCTTTCAAATATACCATTTACTAGTTATTTTTCAAGTATTAGTTTGCAATTAATTTTTCAACTAATCACTCAAATATAATTTTATTAAGAAGATGATGACACATATAATACTAAAATTTTTATAACAGTTAATGTATAATGGTTGTATTTTGTATAAATTTAAATAATTAATTAGTATTTATGATTATAAGCTGCCATAAAAGATCACCCAAATCTATTTCAAAAGAAACACCCATTAATTTTGGTTTCTTGTTGTATTATGCTACCTCCTATAAATGCACAAAATTCTGTCTGTATTATCTATCTCCAAATAGTTGGGGTACATGTGCAATGCATAAACAAATATCACAACACGTTTCGAGGTTGTACTTTTCTTTTTTAGACCATTCAAATAGCAACATATATTTATATACGAACTTTTTTCTTTTCCTAAACCTACTTGATGATAATTGCTTGGGACTACACGAATTATACTCTATCAAACTTGGAACAAATTTGAAAATCATCATCGTTCATAATTTGTTAGGGGCTACACAATTTTGAAAATCACGATCGTTCATAATTTGCTTCATGACTCGATAAAGATACTTGAAGAGTATTTTTAATGATTAGTCGGATCTAAAGAAAGATACGCTAACAAAAATCAAAGGTGAGATCGTTTTTAATGATTGTTGGGGCTACAGAAAGATAAGTATATTATAAATGACTTCATTTAGGTCATGTTTATGATGATCGCGTAAGAAACACCTAACAATTGTATGATCCTTTTAGCTTTATTAATATCAAGTTCACTTAGAGACTGTTTGATAGTTGCTAATTGAATAAGATTTGATTAAATTCGAAGTTTTGATTGAATTTCCTATGAATGAAAAGATATTGTTTGATTATGCATATGAATATCTGTACTAAAGGATAAAAATGACCATTTTACTTTTCTATTCTATTTTATGCTGTATAAAATATATATTTTTGATAAAATATATGAATGAAATTGCCAAAAAATTATAAAAAATAAAGACAATAATTATATATTATATATTGTTCTATCTCTTAAGAACTTGAGTTCCAAGCAAAAAGGAAAAATGTAAGTGATACGGTCTAAAGATATTAATTAATATCTATTTTTTTGTTGATGATGAGTTGAGACAAACATGGCCAAATGACACATATTTCATACGAGCAATAATCATCGTCATCATCCTTGGAACACACTTTTACAATTATGTACATTATCTAATGTGAGTCATCAGATATGCATACATGATCATGAACATCAATCATGACATAAAAAGTGACTATTCAGCCATTCTTCATGACCCAAAGTGCAAATTTCATCACCTCTTTTCGTTTCCCTAGTCTACCCTCGTTCAAAGTAAAGATGGCTACCCTTTGATTAAAGCTAAAGGGTATTTTTGTCACTTTAAAGTATAAAGAAGGAGAGCATCAACTTTATCTTTCCTCCTAATCTCAAAAATCCATCTCTTTTCTAGTGCCAAACACCTCAAAATCCAAACAAATGTATAACTTTTAATGCATAATGTATAAGTAACGTACAACTTTTGATGCACAATGTGTAAGTTGTTTAGGATAATTGCTCTATTAGTAGACAGGATGAAATTACCTCTTTGAGACTTTAAATTTCTGTTATCCAACGGCTGTTTTTATTTTTATTTCCCTTTCTCCTTTCTCTCTCTCTTTCAACTTTGCTTAAAGAAGCTCTTGATAGTCACAGGAATTACCTATTCCATTCCTTTTTCCGTTTCTCACCACTTTTAGAGAGAGAGAGAGAGAGACTGTGTGTGCGAAAGAAAGGGGAAAAGGAGGGGTTTAGCTTCTTCCTTGAATTTGAAGACTCTCTTTGAAGATGTATGATTCTTTGAGCCTACTCACTCTTCAAGTTTCTCAGATTCCATTCACTTTTACATTCCTTTTCAAGAAACCCATTTCCATTCCACCCCATAAATCATTTTGTTTCTTCTACAAATCCTTCCAAACTAATTCCCCATAGAAATTAACAAAAAAACCCACTAAAAATGTTGTCTTTGTTTGTCATAATCATTACACTCTGTTTGTCAATTCCTTCGTCTGTTTCAACTGATTTTGATGCCTTGGTCACTCTCAAACAAGGCTTTGATTCTATTCCTTTTGCTTTAGACACATGGAATTCCTCTAATCCTACTTCTGTTTGTTCATGGGTTGGAATCAAATGCTCTCACAACAGAGTAATTTCACTTGATTTGTCAAACATGAGAATCCATGGCTCTGTTTCACCTGTTATTTCGTCTCTCGAGACTCTTACTGAGCTTTCCCTCGATGGCAATAACTTCACCGGGGAAATAAATCTTTCCAATTTGACATCTCTCCGGTTTCTAAACATATCGAATAATGCATTCAGTGGTGGGTTGGAATGGAATTACGCAAACCTGCAAAATTTGGAAGTCCTTGATGCGTACAACAACAATTTGTCGTTTCCACTGCCTACGGGAATCACGAGCCTCAAGAAGCTCAAGTATTTGGATTTGGGTGGCAATTTCTTCTATGGCAAAATCCCGGAGAGCTATGGGAAAATGGTTAGTTTGGAGTATTTGTCACTCGCCGGAAATGACCTCCATGGGAAGATTCCGGCGGAATTGGGGAATCTTACAAATTTGAAAGAGATTTACATGGGTTATTATAATGTGTTTGAAGGTGGGATTCCGAAGGAATTCGGGAAATTAGTCAATTTAGCTCACATGGATCTTTCTTCATGTGAGCTAGATGGACCAATTCCACCGGAACTTGGGAATTTGCTCTCCATCGACACCATTTTCCTGCACATCAATCTCCTTTCCGGCCCAATTCCGAAGCAGCTCGGGAATCTAACAAGCTTGGTGAATCTTGACCTCTCTGCCAATGCACTTTCCGGAGAAATCCCAAATGAGCTTGGAAATCTCAAAAATCTTAAGCTCTTGAATCTATTTATGAACAGATTACATGGGTCGATACCGGATTTCGTCGCAGATTATCCAGACTTGCAGAAACTTGCTCTATGGAGTAACAATTTCACTGGTGTGATCCCAGAGAATCTTGGTCGGAATCTGAATCTTCAAGAGATCGATTTGTCTTCTAATAAGCTCACTGGTACCATTCCTCGTGATCTCTGTGCCTCTAATCAGCTAAGAATCTTGATTCTCCTCAAAAATTTCCTGTTTGGATCGATTCCAGAGGATTTAGGTACTTGTTCAACACTTGTTAGAGTGAGATTAGGGGAGAACTATTTGAACGGTAGTATCCCCGATGGACTCATTTACTTGCCGGAGTTAAATCTACTGGAGTTGCAGAACAACTATTTGTCCGGCAATCTGTCAGATAACCAGAATCCTTCTTCAAGACCTGTTAAACTAAGCCAGCTAAATTTATCATATAATCAACTCTTGGGCACCTTACCATCTTCCCTTTCAAATTTCTCTTCCCTCCAAATCCTTTTACTCGCCGGAAACAAATTCTCCGGTCCCATTCCGGCGACAATCGGCCAACTCCACCAGGTATTGAAGCTTGACCTAAGTGGGAATTCCCTTTCTGGTGCAATCCCACCGGATATCGGAAACTGTGTTCATCTCACTTACCTTGACTTGAGCCAAAACAATCTTTCCGGCTCAATTCCACTTGAAATTTCAGATATCCGAATTTTGAACTACTTGAACGTGTCGAGAAACTGCTTGAGTGATTCCATTCCGAAGTCCATTGGAACCATGAAAAGTCTCACCATTGCCGACTTTTCGTTCAATGATCTCACCGGTAAACTACCCGAATCCGGTCAATTCACATATTTCAATGCTTCTTCGTTTGCGGGCAACCCTCAACTTTGTGGCCGATTGTTGAACAATCCCTGCAATGTTAGCGGAATCAAAGATTCCGCTAACAAAAAACCTGGAAGGTTCAAGCTTATATTCGCGCTTGGCCTTCTTATCTGCTCCCTGGTTTTTGCAGTTGTCGCTATGGTCAAAGCCAAGTCATTTACAAAATCGGGTACAAATACTTGGAAAATGACATCCTTCCAAAAGCTCGAATTTACGGTTTCTGACGTTCTTGAATGCATTAAAGACGGTAATGTGATTGGCCAAGGCGGGGCGGGAATCGTCTACCATGGTAAAATGCCTAGTGGGACCGAAATTGCAGTTAAAAAGCTAGTTGGTTTTGGAAACACGACCCATGACCATGGATTTAGAGCAGAAATCCGAACCCTAGGCAACATTCGGCATAGAAACATTGTGAGACTATTGGCATTTTGCTCCAACAAAGACACAAACCTTCTTGTGTATGAGTACATGCGAAACGGGAGCTTAGGAGAGGCAATACATGCAAAAAGTAAAGGAGGGAGTTTAGGGTGGCGTTTAAGGTACAAAATATCGATTGAAGCAGCTCGAGGACTCTGCTACCTTCATCATGATTGTTCACCGTTGATCGTGCATCGAGATGTGAAATCGAATAATATCTTGTTGAATGCGAGCTATGAAGCTCATGTAGCTGATTTCGGGCTCGCAAAGTATTTAGTCGATGGTGGTGCGTCTGAATGCATGTCTGCGATTGCTGGTTCATACGGTTACATCGCTCCCGGTATGTAACATCTAATTTTTATTTTTTTAGTACAAATGAATCATACATAATTTTAGGGTTAATTCTTGTTTATACAAGGATACTTTTTTTTTTTTTTCCAATTTACATAATAACAAAAAAAGTAACATATGATTATTAAAATCAGAGAAACAAAAATGTTTTATAAATAAACATTTAAAATTTCATAATGACGTAAAAGTTTTCGAATCCTAAATTTTGTTGGTATATTTAGAGGGTGTAGAGTTAAAATAGTGAAAGTGACGTGTCGCATGAACGACACCCGTGATTTGTGCTACAGAGATGAGATGAAACAGAGGGCGTTGGATTTGATGCGCACGATAACAGAATTTTATGGGTAACCGCACCGAGTCACTCCTGTCAAAGGTCAGAAAAAATGGACGGTGGGATCCGTCCGGGTCAAAATCTGACACAGACCGCAACTCGACACAAAATCTGATATCAGATCCACGTGTCTACTTGCAGCTTCGTTTCTTGCGAAAGCTGATTCACATCCACATCATCTTCCACGTAGTAAATATTATTTAAATGACACCAATTATTTTTTCAATTTTCTACATAAAACGAAATAACCAATAGAGATTAAGTCGTTAGTTGTTATTACATTTTAAGTATTTACATTTTATAATTGTTTAAGCATTAATTAAATGTTTTTTTTTACAGAATATGCTTACACTTTAAGAGTGGATGAGAAAAGCGATGTTTATAGTTTTGGAGTTGTGCTGCTTGAACTGATTACTGGGAAGCGACCTGTAGGAGGATTTGGTGACGGTGTAGATATTGTACAATGGGCTAAAACATTAACCAGATGTCGTAAAGAAGAAGTCGGTTGTATCATTGATTCCAGACTGGCTAATGTTCCTCAAGATGAAGCGATGCACTTGTTCTTTATCGCTATGTTATGTATTCAGGAAAACAGTGTTGAAAGACCGACAATGAGAGAGGTTGTTCAAATGCTCTCAGAATTCCCACGAGACTCAACTCACACTCAAACATCGTCATCTTCATTTGTTTATCTTCAACCTAATAAACTTGATAAAGATAAAACTTACCCAAAGGTTGGACAAGATCTTTTGGTTTAGAAATATGGGTTTTGTTTGGATTTTCCAAAAATGGCTTTTGTTAATAACATGAAATGTGCAAAAGGGTGTCAAAATTTCGCTCATGTGCTCCTTTATGGATTAGAGTATAGAAAATCAGGGGTAAATTAGTAAATGTAGTCGGTTATTCACGGTGGCCTTTTGACTTTTGAGTAGGGTAGATATAAGAGAACCTTTGCAGTCTTGATGTGTATTCTTTTTGTTAATATGCATGCGAATGTATGTATTAGTATTTTATGTGCCTTAATGAAACAATGAAAATCAATATTAGTGCTCTTATTGCAAGTCAACTCAAATGACTAATTTATCCATCATCTTGTTACATCAATTTGATATATGGTCAATATACTAAGATTATATATTCCAACATAATTAAAAATGATAAATAATAAAGGAATTACATGCATATTTATACATCTGTGATGATTATCCAATGATAAAACCATTGATCATTCATTTATCCTACAAGAAAATCCTGCTTGTGAATGTCATGTTTCTTGATAATTCCTGTTGAATAAAAAACTAAACACTAGATCTTATCTGTTGCTAAATTTTTTGTTAAGAAAATAAACAATTGGTGATCCATTGGTAAACGTTTTAATGAACTGATAACATTACTTTTCCTTTCTTTACCTTTTGTTCTGATAAAGAGAACATAGAGGACGATTACTTTCAATGGTTTGTTTATAACCCTAAAGACTTAGTTGGAAAGACATGTTCTAGAATTTGAGATCCTTAAAAGAAAAACAATCTTGGTGACAAGTTGTCATAAAGAAGAGCTAACAGGAGATCTGATGGGAAAAGAGATTGTGTGTCTATTTTCTTGATTTGTATTGTGAATGGTGTCTTCAATTATAGAAGCAATTCACTTCCTTTTGTTTTTGTGGTTGAGATGGTATCTTATAATAGTAGTTGAAATCATGTTATGCATATTGCTTTTTATTAAAGCTCTATGTGATATTTTTTTTATGATTGGATGTTAAAACTAGGACAATTGCATAAAACTTATATTTTTTGGTTGTAATATCATTTAAGGTAGCCACCAACCGTGTTCAAGAAACTAAACTTACAAATAAGAAATTACGTTTTAGGTGACGAACTTCAAATCCTCTCTCGTTTAAGGTAATCAAATTACATTTTTTTTTAATAATTTTGGTCGGTAGAAATTATGCCGGACAATGTTTTAAGTGACCTGGCCCTTGGCGCTATGTTGCTAGCCCCTGATTACGAGCCGACGAGCATCAACAGATTTAGTAAGAGGACAATGTGTGCACTTCCCCACAATAAAAATAGAAAAACTAGTGTTTTTCTAAAAGATTATAAATGTAAAAGGCACTCTTAAGTTTGTGTATAGAACAATAAAATACACTTATAGATCAGGAATGGGTTTAATATGACTGTCCACATAAAAGTAAACAAGAAAAATAATCGTTACTACAAGATAAAAAAAAAATGTAATCTTACCATCTTAATTTTGTGTAAAAAATTACAGTTACAGATAAAGGGTCAATATTGTAAAGATTAAGAAGAAAAATATAAAAAAAAAAAACAAAATTTTGTGGTTCATTGTTCATTATTGCTCTCCTTTCTTATAGAGGAGATTATTATATATCTTATATCTTAAATCTTAAAACTCAAAGAGTAAATTACAGAAATGGTCCCTGTGGTTTGGTCATTATTGCCCACAACATAAGACTGGATTGCCCCCGAGCCACAACACGAAGATCGGATTACCCCCGGGCCAACATCACGAAGACCGGATTGCCCCGAGTTTGTTGGTCTTCAGCACAAAGCAGCACCACCTCAACACACCCCACCATAATATGTTGACATATAAAATAAACAAGCAATCAAGTAAACACATAAGCACAGACAACTATCTACCCTAGTCTACTTGCTTAACAGCTCATTACCGTATACTAGGCCTCATACAGTACACTACCCCGGTACTGGCAGATCCCTAAGGAATGCACAACTATATGTAACAAGAGGTGAGATAGACATTCGAACAACACATCTCACTCTAAATCCATAACCAAACAAGGAACAGGCAAGAAAACCTAGATCAAGAGTTCTCAAGCTATCATACGTGACTACATACAACCCCTAGGGCACTCTACTAGACGATCACCATCCTACAGGTACTCTAAGCAGTACACCACTACTCATATATCCTAACATACAAGGGTATACACTACAATACATAGTATAGTGAGGAAACTCACATGAATCGAAGACTCAAGAAACACAACAACACGCTCACTCCATGTACTGATTGCTCCCGCGAACCGACTAACATCAAACCAAGGTGGAACCTTAATCAATATCCCAATTCCTTCAAGTTTGACCCAAGGTCAAACTAGTCAAAAGTCAACGGTCACCGTGCCCTCAAGTAATAAAAAAAATTAAACATTATAAACAAATGGAAAGATGTACATTACCTAAAAAGAATTTAGAATAAAATAAAGGAAACTAAAAACTTGAACTTAAAAATATTTCACTCTTTTTTTTTTCACATGATTAGATTTCACACCGAGGAAGCTCCAATGAAATTATCACCTAGACAACAGTCTCAATAACTTTATTGCAGATTCAGAATTCATATTTAATAAGTCAAACCAAGCTTTAGCAAATAATTTTTACGCCAAATTAAATTTTTGAAAACGATGTATTTTTAAAAATAATTTCACGAAAATTCGTTTATCAAAACTTAGCTTGACCGACCCCTCCTTTTTTTTTCGAACTCGTCCAGTAAACGCGGTAAGCTCCGTTATGGACAGGAAATCCAAGTTTACCCCTATGATTCCACTATCGAGGGATCTTTCTCATTGTACCACATATCTTCTTTGTCTTGATCAACTCTTCAGATTTAACTTGCTTGGTTCTTGATTTCGACTTGAACTTGACTTTGATTTGACTTTGAATTTTAGATTTCTTCAAGTTGCTTGATGTACTATTTCTAACATATATATTGATCGGGCGCAGATTTTACTTTGAGGCCCACCATATCTTCAATACTTCAAAAATGATAATAAATTGTGTGGGTATAACAAGAGTTCTCTCCTAACCTCAAAAGGCACAGAAACTATAGGGTTCAATACTTCAAGGAAATATAAGGGTTATCCAATCTAGGTTCTTTTTAAGGCATTAAAAAAATTATTTTTAAAATACTGTTCATTTTTCCATCCCACACTTCCATTATAAATATTATCCGACTCATATGTTGGTTCATATTTCGAAAATATTTAAAGCATTTGAAAAGATAATAATTAAAATTGATCGTAATGAGACTGTTCTTTTCGGTTCCTATCACACTTCATCTTTACAGAGCTATCAAATGTAAATAATATCCTCATCTCATGTAAAAAAAATTCATTTTTTTTTGAGTTTTTGTATGCAGAATATAAAAAAAATAGAAATAAAATCTAGCCGAAATATTTTTTGGGTTTTTTTGTTTTTATGAATGCAGAAAAATAAAAAGGAAAATATTTTTTGGTTTTTTCAGATTTTTAAATATGCAAAAAGAAAAATAAAATTTGAAGAATTTAGCCGAAAAACTGAAAAAAGTTTAAAAAAATGCAAATTTATACTAACCCCCTTCCCAAGCTTAAAATGATGCACTGTTCTCAATGCTCAGAGAGGAATGAACAGCTCAATAAAGCATATAAAAGCAAAAGGTGCAGCTAGGAATGAATATACCTAATAAGTTTGTAGAAATTTCTGATTTTGAAAAAAATGTTGGCGACAAATCTGAATTTGAACAACTCTGTCAATCCTCTGATTTCCCTAAGCTTGGTTGGAATTGCGACCATCTCTTTATTGAAAGCATAAAAAAACTAAAAACTACTCATCGGGTTGCCTCTCGGAAAGTCGCCCATTTTTAAAGTCGTTGGCTCGACTTTGCCCAACCAGATTTGCTAATTGGTGTGGTTGGGACTTCTCTGAAGCTCAACTCTCTTCCTTGTCACTCCAGATCCCTTCAGATATGGCATGATTAGTGGATCTGGAACTTGTTCAACAAACTGGAAAGACTCCAGATTGTCTTCAGATAAGTTTTCAAATTTTTGAACTTCTTTCGTTTTCTGATCTTCTTATTTCCAAAAGTATTCTCTTTGAATTCTTCTTTTTTCTTTTCAAACCTCTTGCATTTCAGTTTCTTCTCTGATACCTTCACAACTGAAATCATCACTTTCTCCTCTTCTTCTTCCTAAAGTTTTTTTTCTTTTAAGATTTTTATCCGATTCTTTCTCAGTAGAAATCAGATTCTCCACCTCCCTAAGCTTAGATTTTTCTGTCAGCTCATTCTCTGATGTTTCTTCAGCAAAAATCAACTTTTCTTTCACCTCCCCAAGCTTATTTCGTTTCAGCTCCTTGGATGTAGTATCAGATAAATTCCCGTCTAAAAACAAATCTTGCACGAAAACATTAGAAAACTCATAGCAACCCTTAGACAAAGGACTGCTGGTACCCAGATAATTAACAGAAACTTTATCAGAAGTATCAGAATCATTCATATTAAAGTTCACCACATCCCCATCAAATTCCATTAAAAATGTACCAGCAAAAAAATCAATTTTTGTTTTAGCAGTTTTCAGAAAAGGTCTTCCCAAAATAATTGAGTTTTTTATCTGATACATCTACAATGCCCATGTCTATAATGTAAAAATCAGCGGGAAAAATCAAACTAGCCACTTGGACAAGAACATCCTCCAGTACACCTTTGTACTGTCAAGTGATCAGTCAGCTGGATAATTGTCCCGGTCTTTTGTAAAGTTCCCATTTTTAATTTTTCAAAAACAGAAAAGTGAAGGACATTGACTGAAGCTCTAAGGTCAAGCATGGCATTTGAAAAATTAAGGTTATCCAATTTACAAGGAATCGAGAAAATCCTCGGATCGTTGCACTTTGGGGGAAAACCTTTTTGCGAAATTGAAGAAATATTTTCGCCAGCTTTGATAGTTTCATTAAATTCATTTTTTTCTTAGAAATACATAAATTTTTCAGAAACTTGGCATAACGAGGGATGTGTTTGATAACATCTCAAAGTGGAAGATTTACCTCAACCTTACGAAAAAATTCCATAATATCTTCATCCTCTCTTTCACGCTTCGTATTTCTCAGTCTTCATGGAAAGGGTGGAAAGGGCTTGTATTCTTTCAGATTCAGCTTCACTGGACTTGG